AAAGTCAGAAATCAGATTATGTACAATAAGGGCCATATACAGTATGGTACATTCAACACTTTCTTCTAGTGTTTACACAATTTTATACTATAACAGCCGATATAAAGACAGTCAAACACACAGGTCATATTTCACTCAAAAAATAAAAATGAGAATACTTCACAAAGCAAAAACCACTAACTAAAATATTTTCATGACAATTAAGTGTATCCCTAATATCAATATTTTCAAAAGGTGATTGTTATTGCAATACAGTTAAATATATATTTTTCATTAATTAAAAAGCTATTTAACAATACTAACTAACCACCTTACAATTTTTCATTTTATAATTTTTTTTCTGAATCAGAACTGAGCAAAAATGGGGTTTAAAATGCCTTAAGACAAAAAAAAAAGAAAAAAGGAATAGTTCACCCAAAATCAGATTTGGAGAAATGTAGCACTGCATCACTTGCTCACCAGTGGATGCTCTGCAGTGAATGGGTGCCGTCAGAATGGGAAAAATATTTTTCCCCAAGCAAAGGTTTAAAACGTCTTGATGTTTTGTTTCTTACAAACACACAGCTTTTCACTTCACAAGACATTAACTGATGGACTGGAGTTGTGCGGATTATTGTGATGTTTTTATCAGATGTTTGGACTCTCATTCTGACGGCACCCATTCACTGCAGAGCGTCCATTGCTGAGACACTAGAGATGAGCTGAGGGTGAATACACTTCTTAGCAAATTCTAATCTTGGGTGAACTATTTCTTTAAAACAGTGTCATTACGAACACGTAAATTTGATAACATTCAGATACTAACTGTAAGGTTGAAATGGAGAGTCAAGTGCATCGCATTTTGGGATAGAGTATTCAAATTGTGTTAAACATAGAAGCTAAATTTTGCATACTATGCACAGTGAACTTACTGCAGAAACAATACAAGTGTGTAGTATGAGCAATATGTCTGCATCAGACAAACGTGACAAAAAGTTGATTTACATGAAAACATTACACTATTTTAAAATGCATCACTCACAATGTCCAGCTTGTGTGAAATTATTCTCAAATCTTTCTTTTATTACAAAAGAAAGCTCTATACATAATTACAGCATTTCTTTTACAACAAGTCTGTATTAGTGGTTAAAACAGGATTTCGCTTTCAGCGTTCGTAATATCAACTTAAATTTTAATCAAATTAAAACTTACCCAGCATGTAATACAAAAACAAACCTAATTCTTCAGAAAATGGCATGTAAAAGATAATGAACAAAGCAAACGTTACATCCACGACTGGTTACACTGTGCTAAAGGAAAGAAAAGAAAAAACAGCACTAACAGACGTCTGTGCTTCACATTAAAACTATATCCAGGGTGCAGAAACATTTTAATTTCAAACGCAGCCATATGAGCTACTTACAGTTTGTTAAAGTCAGAAATCAGATTATGTACAATAAGGGCCATATACAGTATGGTACATTCAACACTTTCTTCTAGTGTTTACACAATTTCATACTATAACAGCCGATATAAAGACAGTCAAACACACAGGTCATATTTCACTCAAAAAATAAAAATGAGAATACTTCACAAAGCAAAAACCACTAACTAAAATATTTTCATGACAATTAAGTGTATCCCTAATATCAATATTTTCAAAAGGTGATTGTTATTGCAATACAGTTAAATATATATTTTTCATTAATTAAAAAGCTATTTAACAATACTAACTAACCACCTTACAATTTTTCATTTTATAATTTTTTTTCTGAATCAGAACTGAGCAAAAATGGGGTTTAAAATGCCTTAAGACAAAAAAAAAAGAAAAAAGGAATAGTTCACCCAAAATCAGATTTGGAGAAATGTAGAATTGCATCACTTGCTCACCAGTGGATGCTCTGCAGTGAATGGGTGCCGTCAGAATGGGAAAAATATTTTTCCCCAAGCAAAGGTTTAAAACGTCTTGATGTTTTGTTTCTTACAAACACAAAGCTTTTGTCTTCACGAGACACTAATTGATAAACTGGAGTGGTGTGTTTTGTAATTTAAGAAATTCAAACCATAAATACCGTTTTGTGGCTCTTTAATTTGTCGTGAGAGATCGCTGTAGTGCCTCAGATCAAGCGGCATGAACTGATCGTCTTTTCATATTTACTAGTGTAGCGAATTTAGCTCAACGACCGGAAATATAAATAATTAAC